AAAAACATCTGTTTTGGTTCTGATTATCATGTTTATCGTGCTGAAATCATGCGTTTTAAACCATATGAGTTTAAACTTCTGATATACAGTTTTCTGAGAGCACATATCCGAAGCACACTGACAGAAAGCGGCCACCACACAGCATGTGAGTACCTAAGTTCTCATTCACACACAAGTTTACGTTAAAAACACACATGATACAAAAACAGTCGGTTATGTCTGTGAAGGTAAACAGCTGGGAAAGAAATCATATGTTTATATTAGATCTGTGTGGCCAGTAACATTTAACTAATGTAAACAAAGAATGCTTCTGTGTGCTGCATCCTCCCACAGGTTAACAGAGTTTAAGCAAACATCATTAATACACACATAGTTAACAAAACAAAACAATACACATTTTAATGCTATACAAGTGTGCACATTGAGAGAAATAAATAGCAGATGTTAATGTTAGTAAGTTAGCAACTTCCATGCATGTTTTAATGCTAGTGAATAAAAGGAAACGATCCACCCGCATGCCTCTGCTCAACGACAGTGCCTTAATCAGTTGTGATTTGCGTCTCAGGCCGATGATGTAATTTCCAGGGAGGTGTGTTCAGGCCTGTTGTACACGCCCCAGTCCCTTGACTCCACCCCCATGTCAAAACAATGCCAGAAAGTGAAATGCGCAAAAATGTGAAGCACAAAGGGAAGAAACGGTATCGCAAGCTCACACGTGACTGAAATGCAAAATAAAAGCAGCATTGCAAATAAATTAGTAGCTATGGCCATTGAAACTATGTGTTGCAAAATCATTGCTTTTGCTCTGTTTAATTTATATTTTGCAATTCTTTATTTTTGTTTGCAAAACTTCTTTTTTTTCTCGCAATACTTCGTTTTCTTTTGCAATTCATTATTTTTGTTTGCAAAAAGCACTTTTTTTTCTCTCAATACTTTCATTTTTGTTTGCAAAACATTATTTTCTTTTACAATATTTCAATTATTTTGCAAGTATATGTGGCATTGAATTGACTCCATGTATTTGGTGTGTGTTGCTTTTTCAAATGCACGTTATAAGCGAAGAGGCGTTTCCTCATCTCAGCGCGTGATCTCACGGGCACAAACAAACAGAGCCAATTCGGAGAGAAATAAAACGCACAGAAATAATAACGCAAAACTGAAAAAAAAAATGCAATTCAAAAACACTCCTAAACTATATGGGGCATTTTATTAGGCTTAACGCTGGATGGGCCCATCAGAGGATCTGTTTGATCCTCTAGAGCCATTGGCCACTTGTTTGAGGAAGTTCAGTGCCTACTGATATAGAGAATAACTCCCTTTGGAGTGGACTTTGTGCTTTGTAACTCTGCAGATCTTTTTCATGCAAAACAGCAACATTACACACTAAAGGAAGTTGAAAATGTAAAAAAGCATAATAGGACCGCTTTAACGTCCTCTATAGAGGCAGCTCACTAGGTTTAGGAACGAAGTGATAATGTGTGTATTGAAACAAAACCTGGTGTTGCATTGTCTAATGTGAAGAATGCACGTGTTTTATGCATGTATTTACACAGTAGGTTCAGACAGTGACCATTTCTCTGCAGCATGCGGCACCATCAGTCAACATGTCACTGAAAACTTGAGCGCCTACAGCACGATTACATGTTAATTTGACTCTCCGCACCTCCCCCTGCTCTCTGGTCCTCACTCTACCTCTCTGTCTCACTATCCCTTGTCGCCCCACAACACGGGCATATCTCGTTTTTCTTCATGTCTTGCTGATCTCCCTTAAATTCCCCTCATCATCTCTTTGATCTTTCCATCTTCACGTTTTTATCTGTGTGTTGTTTTAACACAGTGGCTTGATATTAATCAATTACAGGAGATGAAAAAGAATTTGTAGCTTTGATGAATATGTGTGCAGTTGGGTGGAGGCTGTAGATGGTCTAAAAGTGCTGATGTAAGCAGGAAAGAACAGGGACTGCAGAAAGAGGACCGAGCTAATGATGTATTGATCTGACATAGCCGCAAGGCACACACTTCTGTGTCTGGCTGTAATGTGCAAGGTGTGTTACTTTCAAATCAGAAAGGAGATAGCAGTGTGTCTGAGCATGTGCGCATTGGAGAGGATGTGAGACTAGTTTCCTGTTAAGATTGATCTCATTTGTGATTGCGACTGTAATGTTTCCCTTTAGGACCAACACAAACACTTCCTCTGAACTGAGAGGAACTGGGCCCCTCTGGTGGCTGACTATCTGCCTCAATGAAAACTTAATTATACAATCTGTTGTTTTAGGAAGCTTGTTGCTCTGCATGGTTGTAACATTAACATCCTTTCATTTACTACAAACACTGATCTGTAGACAACTCCAAATTACTCCCATTCACATTCAGTCTGGATTCAGATCACTTGCATATCCTGTAGATCCACTGGTTCAGATCATGCTTAGTTTGATCCTTATAGAAAAAACTATTTTCTATCATTTTGCCTATTATTTTAAAAGCTAAAATGCTAATCTGTAATTTGCTCCAAGTTACTCCCATTTACATTCACTTACATTCAATTACATTCAAAGCATGCCTAGTTTGATCCTTAAAAGCTTAATACGTAAAACATTACATAACTTTTTTAAATAAAATGCTAATCTGTGATCTACTCCCATTCACATTCACTTTGGATCCAGCAGATCCTTGAAAATCCAGCAGATCCACTGGTCCACAGTTTGATTCTTTGTCTAGTTTGAGCTCTGAAGGGTTCATACATAAAAAGTGAGTATGAAATTTTATGAAACTTTTAAGCTTGTATGTAACTTTACACTTACCTTTAGTTTAACTGAATTAGATACATCTTATTCACATTAATTCTGCATTCAGCAATTAAAATATTTTAACACAGTTAACGCACCTGCCCCGCCCCGCCCCAGACCTGTACGTCATCTTACATTTCATACAGTTGACTGTTGACGAACATGATGAAGGGCAACAACTATGTAGTCCATAAATGCAGTTCTGCCAGGACCACTATCGTCAAAGATGATTGACACTTAGCTTACCGTTTGGATTGGCGGTATGGTTCTGTTCTGGGCAAAATATTCCTGCAGATCC